CCTTGAGAATGTAGAGCCGTGCCAGAAAACTCAACACAGACAAGCTGACTTGGGCATCAAACATTCTTTCTTGCTGTAATTCAGCATGCAACACTAAAGTGAGCACATTATTAGTCTCTACTGTAACTGTGTCTCCAATCAAAACACTCACCCCAACTAAGAGCATTCTCCCCATTGTTAAACCGTGAAGACAAACACAAATCAAGTTAGAAAGGGACCAACTTCCCCCAGCTGGAAAATATAAGTGTTTGTGGTAAAGGACCTCATGTTGCATCTTGGCAGCGAGTCGCAGGGAGTGTGCTGCGTCTCGCTTCAGTTCACTGGCTCGAATCTGAACACCCTCCAAATATTTAGATAAACTAGAGAAACGTTCTCTGGGTTTGATTACACTCAGACAAAAATGTCCAGAAGTTATATGAGCGGCTTAATCAGAGTCTCATACTGGGATATGGGGCTATTTGGTTTATTCCTACATCGTTTTAAATTGTGATTCTTGGTGTAGTCGACTCGTTTCGTGATTATGCAGCATGTGGCACCGATGATGTGGGTTAAAATGACATTTAATCACACAGCAATGGTCAGAAAGAGCAAACAGAAGCTGGAAGTGCACATCTGCATGGCCAGCCACACATGCACACAAGTATCAGCGGATGTTGGCAGACCTTGAACCAACAGCAAACCGTTTACCAAACCTTCACAGAGACTGTTGGAAACCTTCCTACAGCTCAGGTGGCTTGTTCTTACCCTTGCTTGTTTTTAATTTAGCTTAATTTCCGAGCCAAATAAAACCACACAAGCCTCCACTGTATTCAGCATCAGTGAAAGACTAAACAGTGTTGCAGCTTCCTGACAACAGCAGACCAGCGTCTATTTTTGGCACAGTTGTGGAGACAGTGGATTTGCAGGAGCTGTCTCAATTTAATCAAGCTGAAAGAACAGAAACAGATGATTCTTTAGTGAGACTGCAAAGGAGATGCCCAATATTACTACGCAAAGCTAGGAATTCTTATGAGGAAAGAGAAGGAATGAAAATAACGACACATGGGAAAGTAAAGAGGAAATTGTTCCTCCATTTATCCACTGATTTTACTCCTTACCACCAATGTTTTTGGGAATATAATCTAAAAACAATGTGTCGTCTCTTTCAGTTGTGTCCCTCCAGAGCATCAGGCAATATTGAAACCAAAATCACAGAACTGTCAGCGGTTGAGCCCCACCTTGGATATCTTCACTCTATTTTTGACATAACCCTCTATTGGTGGCACGGCCGGATGGTTTTGCAATTGCACGGGTGAGTCACAAATCCTGAGGTCGTGGTCCCCTCAACCGTGCTGGAGAACCCACAATTGCGCAACGATTGTAAAAGAATGGGTTTTTATTTTTAACTCAAAGCTTTGATCCTTCTTCAGGAAGTTTAATTAGATCGATGGAAAGGGCGCTCGTTTCCTTCACGTAGCTCATCTTTCCATGAGAAGTCGCGACGACATCATCCCCTGGACCACTTCTGTCTACGCCAGCTTCTCTTATGAGGCCGCGGGGCATCCGTTGGTGTGGTCCAGGGGTTGTCATCAACAGCCCATTTAATCTTAGACCAAAGAGCTTTAACAAGCACAGCAGACTACATTTTTAATGTCACCCCAGTGTCTGGCTGCAGAAGGGGAAAGGGTTTAGACGAGAATTAATTCACTTTGTTCACAGGCGGTCTTTCATCTATTGTTTCATACTGAGCTAACTACAAAGACCTGAGCAGCAAGTTACTGTAAATGCTGAAGGAATTTTGAAGATTTTTCAGACCTGTGCGATTTTGGGCCCCTGTAAATTTGCATCTCCACTGATTAGACCAGGGTTATTTGAGCAGTGTGTCTTGAAAATTACCCATAATGAGCTTTTTTCTTGGCCTTTCATTTGAATGTCATCATTAAGCGGCCATGGTAAAACCACAAGGCTCCAAAAATGTACTAGATGTAGGTTGAGGAGGCGTCTACCTTAAATGAATCCTGTCCTTCCAGTGCCATTTGCTGAAGTAATATGATTATACACAACTTATTTAAATTGCAGGATGTTATTTTGAGTGAACTTAAATACCTGCGAAGGAGTTTGTGCTTTCACCCCTGTTTTTCAGTTGTTTGGTCGGTGAGGTTGTTGTTTGGTTGTTTTGTTTGACATAATTACGCAAAAACTACTGAATAGATTTTGACGAAACTTGAAGAAGGATGAGGCTTGGGCTTGGAAAGAATCCATTAAGAACCATTGCTTTCTTAAGCAAGGGCTTTTTTTACATTTCAACAATTTATCATGGATCTTGATGAAAAAAAAAGGACTACATCTTGATCTAGTGGATTTAAAAGGGTTTCATAAGGGGGCCGTTGGGCTTTGGAGGATGTATACGCTCCACTGAGAGCCTTTCTAGTTATTAGCTGTATATCCCTTTACAGATAATGATGTGAGGGGGACGTCTTTCTAGTGCTGCACAGTGACAGGGAGGAGACTTTGATACAGCTGACTGAGACTGGGTCCGTTTGTCCCACGTATTGTTGGCAGTTGCTGCTAAATGGTTGCAGCTGCTGCAGGTTTTGGTTAGATTTTAGTTAAATATTGTAAAAAAAGTCGATCCCTCCTGTGATAGAGTTGCTGAACTGGACCACATATTGTATGAAAACAAAGGAAATACTTAAACTCATTGTTTTCTCATTCTATTCTGTGGAAAATTTAATCTGATTAGCAGTATATTTTTTGCAAGACACGTTTCCCAAAGCAAATACATTCTGCCTCTTGTTTTAGGAGACAGTGTTGGTGAGGTCTCAACTGTCTCCGGTCTCTGCCCTCTTTGATTTGTTCTGAGCTAAGCCAGAGTTAAAGCAAATAAACACCCTCCTCCGTTTTATATTACATCTGCTGTCTGTCCCCCAGTCGTATGTGTGGTGTTTTCCCTGGCTACGTTTGCACAGATGTTGCTGCAGCCATTTGTTTATCACACAGATACCAGAAATTCCAGTATGTTGTTGGGAGACAGCAGTGGCCACTCTAACAATGAGCTCACTGCGCTCCATTCCCTTCTCAGTGTGGGACCCGCCAACAGATACAGTTGCTTCTGTGCCATGTTGGACAGAAACAGGGTTGAAACACAGGTCACACTCCCAGGAACCACGTCTGCTTCAATCACAGAATCAAGGTTAAAGTTGTTAATGCTGTTTGTTTGCGTCCCCTGACTTCAAAGTAACTTGTGAAATTAATCGTGTCATTTTTAAAGACGCGGCACGACAGAGAGTGATCACACAGTTACGAGCTGCACAACTTTAATATGATTCTAATTATAAGGGGGTAGTCTATGAAATGGGGTGTTGCACAAAACAGAATCCCACATTCTGTAGACGGGAGAAACAAAACATCTGTGTTTTTCCCAGAGTGGGACATCGCAGCCAGCAAATCATCGCAGCAATGACAGCAGCTGCATCACTGTGTGGCCTCATGCGTTTAATTCATCAAACACTCATAGGAGGAGTTTTGCTCCTTAACATTTGATCTGGCAAAGCAGTAAATTTGTGTTGTCTTAGGAAGTCTCAGTGGTCCATTTCGCAAGGAATTTGTAGGAAATGCTGAATCTTAATCTTTGTTAATCACAGCTGTTCTTGTACAGTTGGATGAAAAATTAATTAAGCAAAAGGCTTTCAAAAGTAAGAGTTGACTGTTTTCGTCAAGAATTTAAATTAACATCATGCCAGAGAACAGAAATCATTGAAGTGGTGGTCACGATGTTGAAGAATTAGCAGTTTTACATTGTTGTAATTTGTGTTTTTATGTAGTTTAGTGAAATTAGAATGTAATTCTTCTAACGAAGCTGTACAGTCTTCATCAATTAGCTCAATCAATCAATTACACTTTATTTATAAAGCCCATCTTCACAAAATTGTGTGTTTGTTTGTGTTTTTAAGTCAAAAATCTGTGAAGAGATTTTAATGACATTTGGTGGTTAGCCATGTATCAACCTCATGCTGGTGCTTGAGGAAAAGTCCAGTGATGGCCAGAGTCTGTCAGATTCATCCTCTGGGGACCATGAGCACACTGCTATTCTGTTTTTCTGTCATGCTAATGTTTTCATGAAAACAAATCATGTCTTCCTACTCATGTCATCTCTGGCTGCACAATGCTCACATTGTTTTCCAACCACAGCTCATTTAGCTATAGGACTCAGGGCTGTACTTGCCTCATATGTTCCAGACGAACTATGCCAGGGAACGTGTGTAAACCAACACTTAAACAAAAACCTTCGTCCTTACCATGACTCATGGGAATTCATAGAAGTGTTATGATGTATTATAAAGTCAGAGATAGAACGAGGTGTTTTTATGAAAGGTTAAATGAAACAGACGTATGGCCTCAAATCTTTCGTAATAGAAGAGTGGCCATTCAACACAGACGTTTCGATCTTCTGTCAATTAAAAATGAAAAGACTCTATTATCCCAGAGTTGTAACAGTTTGAGAAAAAATACAGTTTGAGCTGAGACAGTAAGAATGGAAGCATGACCTTCGTCTATAGTCGACCTCAGAGTAGCTCTTTTCATTGTTGTGTGATTAAAATGGGATTTCAGCTTCAGACACTGAAGGATAACCACTTCAGGTTAATGGCTCATTTGAAAACGGTGAAAATTAAATATTCTAATTTCCGTTTTTCATAGAATCATTTAATCTACGTTCGACGTCAATTACTTTGTACAGCAGAATTTTTTCCAACGTTCAGATTTCACTTGAACAGTTTATGGAGGCTGCGTTAAAACAAGATGAAGGTGGCTGTAACAGTGGCAAGTTAACTCCACTAATTAACAAGCAAGGTTCAGTGGTTTTACATTAACTTTTACAAGGTCTGACCATTGCAACACTGGAGGGAGGACTCAAGGCCAGATTTTAAAAAAAATCTTATTGTCAGGCTCAGTGGGTTTTGGAGCCTAATGGATCTGATGATTAACTAAACAAAAAAACACACAAAACAACAACACACATCACACTTGTGTTTTATTGAAGCTCAGCTCACAGAGTTAGTTTGCATTCATTGCATGACTAAATGACGACAGGGTTCATTAGTTCACAGTATTAGTGCAAAAGTAGAAGAATAAGTACTTTAACTGTTAAATATACAACTAACTAGAAATAGCTTAGTTCCCTTTGTATCACATTCTGACTTGAATATTTGGCTTTTAAACACAATCAAAGAGCCTTTAGAGGATCCAGTACCAGCTTCTAGTGGTAATGCTTTCCACCAAAAATAATGTTAATGGCAAGAATGTAATTATATTTTTTACATAAATTAATACTTTCTCAACAACTTAAGCCATAAAAACAGAGCAATCTGCAAAAACAACATCCATCTTAAGCACTTGATCACATAGTGTGTCTTGAAATGCTGCTTTTAAAAGGTAAATCCACTTATGGTAATTTTACAAACAAGTGTCATTGTACTGAAGGCAGAAAAACAACACTGTTGACACAAGGAAATATGAGTCTGCCAATGGAAAAATCTCCCAGCTGGCTGTTTATGATACTTATTACAAAAATAAAAAGCCTTTTAAGCTTTTATGACTTAATACCTGTTGAAATGACTTTAGGTGGGTGTTTGTAACAGTTTTCCAGATGCATACATATGACTCATGCTGCTACACAGGAACATTAATGTTGATGTAGCACATAGCTAATGTCTTTGCTGCAATACTTTCCTAATCAGACTGATTGCCTCATCCAATCAACTTTATAATGCTGCAAGATGCTCAGCCTCATCAGCTGTTTTTTCCGAGCTTTGAATGTGAAACTGTTCCACATGTAATGTAACAGTGAAATAGATTTAAAAATCCAGGATGCACCAGGATATATTTGCAAAATATGACATATAACATTGATATTTATATAATTTAATGTAAAAAAAAAAACCTCCTCCAAAGTACTTAAACACTCACGTGTATGAGTCCCAGAGCCAGCAGTAAGTAGCATGTAGCCAACACTATTTTGCAGTAACATGCAGTTCAACCTGAGTTTGTCCCAAAAAATATACAATGTCATCACACTCTAGTATTTGATTTAAAAGTTAAGTTTGTTCTTTCGGGCATTATTCTTAAATGAAAAGCTGGCTCCCTCTAGTGGACAAGACCGGGACAGTATAATAAACTGTCAGAGTCAATGCTGCATAATTGTTATGGCATCGAAAATCAACTTAATTCCTATGATAGTTCATGTTTCTGTGAACACACACAAGTGCACTCATAAGCACACAGACACGAAAAGCGGCGTGCACCTCACACACTGAAGTTGACAAATAACACAAAATATAAATCAATAAATAAGATCTACAAACTAATGCAGCACACAAGTCCTGCAGGTCTCATAATATAACAACAAGCTTAGTGATCTCTATAAAGTAACATCTTGACTATTGATCTGTCCAAAGCACACGAGTCTGACGCCCTTTGCATCCAAACTATGAGGAAACCAAATCCTTCCTTCACAAACTCTTCATTTAAGTGATTCTGGTTATTATTATTTAATTTTAAAGTTTTGCACTCAGGGCCCAGTATCATGTATTTCAACCTGAGCAGCAAAGACTAAAACAACCACCCAGGCTTCACTGTTCATGCAAAATGAAAACTCGTGGATACCTTTTAGTACTTTCTCTACACCATCCGTTGGACCTGTTGTTCTGTTTCAGGGCTTTCGGTACTGATCATCATGGCTTTATGGCCTTGTTCTTCCAGTAATGTTAAATGCTTTCTCGGAAATCCTGCTTGGCTCCTAGTTAGTCGCCTCAAAGAACATGAAATCCTGTGAAGCGAAACAAAAAAGAAGAAAGTGTAAATAGAAAAGCAAAACATTAAAATGTCAATAATGCCTTATTGCAGTAAAATACATCAGCCAAGGTGATGAAATAATTCATGGGTACATCACTGCTAAAATAACATCCTTGGAGTTTAGCATTTTTGCTTCAATACATGTTTCTTGTCTGTTTGTGTGTTAGCAGGATTACGCAAAAAAGGCGGGGCATGACCCTGGGAAGAACCCCTTCAATTTGGATGTGGATCTGGATCAGAGGTCAGATCCAGGACTTTTTTTTCACTTTCTTTAACATTGTATTTTTCAAAATTTTCGTTTCATAACATTTTACATTTTCAGTGTCGTTGCGACTGTTATAACCACAATCAGGGCAACTTTTAATTTGCTATGAGAGAATCCTTGAAAAAAGAAATTTACAGGCAATGATGTTTTCTCTATTGACGATGGAGTTGTGTTAAGATGCCTAACATCGCACTTACGATGAGGAAACATGCGCCGATCATCACAGCCTTCATCCTCACGTCCAGGTCCATGGGGAACTGGATGCCAAAGTTGTCTGAGTCTGTGAACATTTCCCGCAGAAGTCCCGTCCACTGTTTACTGATCTTCCCAATTTTACTGACTTCATCCATGGTCAGAATCTGAGGACGAGACAAACAGCCAACATGTGTTGTGTTAAGATAAATATCAGTCTTATTAATTTCACTGGCGGGAGATCATGTCTGATTCACAATCTCATCCAAGGTTTTTATGCCTGTTGCCACAGTAACCACAGTAATGACTTCTAATCTGCTAAGGAACGGGGATGGGTGATATCATGGCTCAGTTAGCTCCTCCTCTGGTAAAAGGTCTGTATCGTTGACCCAAATCCATGTCACAGCTCAGTCTAATAAAAGCAGCTGAGCCATGGAACAATGGCCACACTGTACCACACAGGAGCGTGCCCCCGCTTTGTGGCTTCGTCCAAGCTACAGTGCACTTTGATTGGAAACACATTTCCTGCTTCAGAGCACAAGGAGGATCCAGTAGGAGAAAAAAAAACACCCTCAGAGGGCAAGAATGTTACCGTGTCATGTTATGTTTTCACCAATTTAATGGTTTTCTTGTGTTTTGAGAAACCCACCTCAAAGTCAACATCTGGCAGGCAGCTCCATCCACAGAAGGGCCCATGGATCTTCAGCACAGGCTCGCAGTGTTCGTCCGTGACCAGGAATTTAGGGGAGAACGGATGCCACTGTTGTACAACGTACCCCACTGTATTACCAGGGGGAGACTGCACCTCCAGCTGAGTGAGGGATTGTGGGAGAACAGGGTGTGATTAGTAGTCAGGAACTGTTTGAAAAATACTCGTAAATTTGAAGCTTGAACAATAACATTAACTGCGAACTCTGTTATTTCACAGACGGATCATGTTTAAAAAGAACAGGCTCCACTCACCTCTTGCAAACAGCAAGGGAAGAAGCAAGACATGCACTTAAGTGGTCTGGTGATGGTGATGACCTCCTGTCCGTAATTGTCGAGGATGTGGATGGTGAAGGAGCGCATGGGGCCGCAGCACTGTCGACTCAGGCAGTCGTTCTCCTCGACGGCGTAGAACACGTTCTGACCCATGGCGTTACGGACTTCATACTTGTTGTTGCTCTCGAAACCGACAAGGGCTGTGTGAGGATGAACGACACGTACAAAGGTGTCATTGGAAACGGCACAGAACAAACCCAGAAGCAGTGATATTTTTTTTATTTGCAATGTTGTACCTTCAATAACTTCAACTTTCTGTTTGATAAGCAGCTGGTCCACCTAGAAAACCAGAGAACACAACTTAAATCTGCAGCAACAACAACAAGAGCAGGGTGAGCACAAAGCTAACCCTGCCAAGAACTGAGAGGGGGCCCCTGAGAACGGTTGAATATATTAGTCCACAGCAACGACAAGTGTGAGAACCCCCCTCAAATTCTGTGATCGGCTTCGTTCAGTTTCAGGCTTTGAAATTTTAGAGGTTTGGTTTAAGAGGTTTGTGTGTAAATGATGTATTTGAGATGGTAGTGAAGTTTAGTACTTAAACTTAACTACTTTACTATTATTTATGTGGATGTGTATATTGTTGACAATGAAAGATTTAAGATTTTAAGATTAGAAAAATGTGGTTTGATGTCACATGTTTATTTTAGGTTGGTTTGGCTCCAAGGGTCCAAAGTCCCTTGAAAAGCCTCTGTAACTAATACTAGTGCTGCAGATCATTGGTTTTGGACAAATTTTGTCTCGTGTTTTTATCTTTGCTACTATAATATCTCTTACTGGAATATGTGTCATGTTAGCTCAACAGAGATTTATGTCCCTGTGGTGTAAGGTTAAAAGAAAATTGCTTTATTTCTGATCTGAAAGAAATTATTTTCTCACTAAAAATGTCCATAAATACACTGGACATTTTGGGTTTAAATGTTCTTTCCTCCTGCTGTGCACTGGACTCTTTGTAAACAGGAAACCCATCTATAGCAGCAACCACTATCCCACAACAGTGTGACAGTGAGCCAGTGTGCACAATATCAGGACCAAACACTGAAGCAGCTACAATAGAATGCAGATATTTGGTTTTTCATTTGAAGAGGACGCTGAAACCTGCTGTGGTGTATTTGTTCAAGTATAAATATAGAACTAGGGAACAGAATGAAATGTAAAAAATACTATATGTACCAGGGGAGGGATTGTAAACACTAGAGAGTGAACTGTGCAAAATACAGCTCTAGAAGAGGTGGGTGAGGTTGTTCCAAATGAACAGGTGACATAACATTAAACATGTGTCAGATAGAAATGAAGACACTTACCTGGGTCAGGTATTCTAGTCCTGGGGGACAGCCTGGTATCCCCGGGCTGGGCACAGCATACATTTCCATTGTTATCAGACCTGCAGGCAGAGCTATCGATCAATGGGAGGATTCAATCGGAGATATGGCGCCACCTTGTGTTTGTACAGGTGAGAGTCATAAACAAATCGACGGGTCATCGTTTCAACGTGTTTTTCTCTTTGTCTGTGTAGAACCCAGTTATTTGAACGGTGTGGAGCAACATCATCCATCTCTACTACACCGACAGTGTTTTTATTGTTTTAGATTGATAAATGGTGGGTGTTATGGAGCAGCTCCACAGGCTGGGGGCGCGGCTGCAGACCCTCCATGGTGGGTGACACATTAATCTTGACTGGATCTGGAAGTGACGGACTTGTGACGGGAACGCATCACCATGAGAAATCCTCTTACTCAGTGTGTCTGTGTGTTTGCACATAAACAACAGACATAAAGCATCTGTACACACATCACAACGTGTCTGTGAACATGTAGGTCAGATCACTGCAAATCTATGCGACTAGTTATGCCAAACGTAGACGACTCATCCGTGCGTAAAAAGAGCGCACGTCGAGGAACGATGTGATACAATTATCCTCAGGACACGTCCACCTCCGCCACTCATGTCTCATAAATACATAATGTTTACTGTCATTAATATTAACCATGATAAACATAGCTGTAATATTAGAATGAGAAATACTCACCGATATTTCACCTGCTACTTAAAATAGAAACAGGCCACTCTGGAACCGGGACTAAAGAATAAAGCTCTAAACCCATTGGTCTGCGTCATCGGACTTCCCATGTCCCTGCGCCAATCACAAGCAGGAGTGTAGAACAGAGCACAACAGAAGGGGCTGTGATCAACTAGAGCAGAATAGAATAGAATAGATCTCTTAATCAATAATGTGCATAAAGAAACAGTCTGGATCACAGAAAGAAAACACACAGCTCTGTTCAGTTCACAGCACTTGACTTTCTCATCAATACGATTGTTTTAAGAGTTTTAAGAATGTGTGTAATTGTTTTTTTATTCATCGTCTAGATGTCACCATGGATACAGACAAGCTGAATGAAAAAGGTGTTATTATCTCACACAGAGCGGAGCATGATCATAAAAACAATGTTTGTGATGATGTATCTCATTTTCAATTTTCTATCGATTACCACAACCTCACTCTTTCCACTGCTCTGATAAAAAAAAAAACGAAGCTACAATTTTCACCCTGAGACTATTTTTAAGAATATTTATAAAGATATTGCTGTTGTGTCTTTATTTATTTACCCAAAGACCTTGAATTAGATTATCACATCAAACTGATACTTTGACACACTAACCAGATCTGATGGCTTTAAATCTTGGTCAGTCTTGGGTTTTGTCAGAATTTGAATATTACAATGAAATGGATTGTACTCTGAGCTGGTTTCATCTCCCAAACATCAACGTATTGCAGGTTATGAGCATTTGAACATGTGTTGGAAATGAACATATGGCATTTGATATAGGACATTGTCTTGCTTGAAACCAGGTTATAAGCTGCATTGTAATTATAAAGTACTGAATGTAGGTCATAGGGTACTCAACAGAACACAATATACATCTTACAATATAATTTGTATTTATTATTCTTTTATTCTCACACTTTACACTGTATATATTAGTTTTCATTGTAATTACTACTATCCTGACACTTAAGTATTATTATCATTACACTTAAGTATTGCATGTTTCTTGTTATTACTTACTGATGTCTATCTTTGACTCTTGCTGCTATAATATTGCCAATGTCCCCATGATGGGACAAATAAAGGATTATCTTATCTAATCTTTCATCTTTGACTTCTCAATTTGGCCAAGTCAAAAAAACAACAACTAAGAAAACATGAAATCCAAATTCAAACTACCATGATTGTGAAGTTAAATACAAAAAAATGGTGAATGGGTTTCAGTTGCTGTTGGAACTAAATGATATCAGATAGATGGAAGACCACTGCGTCCCTCTATAATATATGTCAGAGAGATAAAAATCACACCAATAAACATTTACAATATGCTTGATGCATGTGGAATGAGTGGAGAATTAATGATATGCTCCAAACGTAGCATGTCTCTTCTATTAATCTGTATTTAGATTGTCAGATGTCGAGCAATGATTGTGTGTCTTCGCCTGGATTCTATCAAATTACATGTTATGAGAGAAACCATCAATGCAGCGGTGGAGTAATTCTTCAAAGCTGTAATCACAACGCCGTACTGCACGTCACTCAGCCGCAAATAGACAAGCAATGGAGGCACAGAGATAAAAGTTCTCCGGATACGATTGTGAATTATCTCAGCAAATTCAGGATATTTAAAAATGGCTACTTTGGATCCAGGTCGTATGAGAAGGTGTGAAGTGTGGTTTTACTTTGGAAAAAGATAAGATAAAGGTATGAATTGAAGAGTGAGTTTTCTGCAGGAGGCAGAAGTCACAGAAGCTTTCAGAATGTGTCACTTGTCCTAAGACGGACATTTCTGAGGTTTTAGCACAGGAGAAAAAAGTTGTGAATCAGTTAACAGACGTATTGTTTAGTCACTGTCACTAATATTTCTATCATGAATTTTTTTTTAACCATTATTTCGGTCTTGAATCTTGTCCTCTTCTAGATGTATGGTACCTCATTCATCCTGAGATATTAGTTTTCAGTAACACTTTATATTAGGGAACACACAAAGTGAACATTTCCAAGCACTTGATTGTAATTCATGTACAACAACTTCCTTTCTTACCATCAATAAGCAGCACCATTAGCTCAACACTGCTCTCCAGTGGATTTAAAGTATAATAACTGGCCCATAAAGTTCAAGTGCACATCAACTGTGTGTCTCCTTTATACTCTTTGTTATATTTCTGTCCTCAAACTTGAAACAGTGAAATGTTGAGTACTGACCAAAACAAATGCTTGGAAACGAGTCAGTGTTCTTATTGTGTTTCGTACTGTACGAAAAACATGTTTATGTTAAAGGTCATTTTTCCACACGCTGTTTATGTTTTAAACCTTTTCACTTGATTTTCATTATGTCATTACGTGTATTTTTCTCTGATGTGCAGCTGAGTTTCGCAGGGAGGACTGCAGCTTTCTGGAAAACAAGCGTGGGTTTGGGCAGAAGGCAGAATGGAAGCTTAGTCGGTCAGACGCCCACGCAGCCCTCACCCTCAGAGGATGACGCCACGGTTTCAGAACATCACTCTGAGCTCCATCAACTCACCAGTCAGTGAACTGTCTCCATGTGAGTTACATAAGTGTACATCTCTATTCACAAGTTGATTATGATTAATGCTGGAAATTTCCTACATGGATATCCACATGTTCCTCCAGCAGTGACTCCTGTGTTGTTTCCCAGCCTCTCAGAGCAAGGACTCATCCTTTGAGGTCCTGACCGAGGAGAGCAGGAAGATGGCCTGGACAAACCCAGGTCTCCAGCCACAAGATCCACAAAGAGTGAGTAAAGAGGCATGTAGTTGGCTGCAGTAACAACTAGAATGGCACTCAGTGTTGCGCATACCTCCACCAAGGCCCGACGACCCCCTTAAATTAATTTAAGCGGCCCCAAATTGCAGACACCAAAATATACTATCCCCTAAATGTGCGAGATTTGTTCTTTTATCAAGGTCTATATGAGGAAGTTAATGCAAGGCAAATAGGCGTCATGCAGCTGCACCAGCTTCTCATCTGCATTGTTTTTTGAAAATAGTAACATACTGAAATGTATTTTTGAGGACGTCCACAGTTTTGTCATTGCTAATTGAAAACATCCTCCATTGTTCCACATGTTCTGGTAAACGTGCAGGGCTGTGATGGCCTATTGCATTTTTGTAGAGGTGCAGAACAAAGACAGTGATTTTGTAAAGAAATGTTCACATAGATTAGAAGAATTAAGCCATTTTCCATGTCTTACTTCTCCATTATTCCTCTGTGTCATTTGACTGTTTGACTCTTCATTCCAGGCTCATCACTGAAAACGTTTTCCAAAGAGCTGAAGGAGTTCCAGAGATGCATGGTATACCCTTTCACTTTACTTACCTGTTCACCATCTCTCCTTCTGCTCCTCCTTGACTTTAACTCTGGACGACGTGTGTTTTTCAGGCCTTGTCGTCATATTTGATGCTGGCAGATGGTAAAACTGTGGCCTGCTCTTCACGAGACAACAATGTGTATGTACAATTTCGTGTGTGCATTTGACGCAGGTATGTAAAAAGACTTTTCTGACTTCAAAATGTTTCTGTCCCCAAGTTAGTTCTACTCTTCTATTATGATTAAAAAGTCATAGGTTACTATGTCGTCCAAAATATGATAAAAAAAGTCATAGGTTACTATGTCGTCCATAATATGATAAAAAAAAGTCATAGGTTAGTATGTCGTCCAAAATATGATAAAAAGAGTAGTAGGTTAGTATGGCGTCCAAATTATGATTAAAAAGTCATAGGTTACTATGTCGTCCAAAATATGATAAAAAAAAAGTCATAGGTTACTATGTCGTCCAAAATATGATAATAAAAAGAAGTCATAGGTTACTATGTCGTCTGAAATATGATAAAAAA